AGTCAGTACTCTTAACCACTGAGCCATCGCTCCAGCCCATTTTATTTTAAACCCCTTCATTGTACATTAGTCCTGAGCGAAGCACACTTTCAACGATGCTGTTCTCAACCACAGCAGGTTTCCTTCCCTGGTGGCCCAGAGGAATCTGACACACACTTCCGGGTGGCTCTCCCACGCTGGGATGGTGAGGGAGACGTGGCTGAGTCTGCCATTCAATAGCCCAGCCTCCAGAGAGCTTTCAGCAAGTTGTACAGGAAATCACAGAAAGTTCTCCCATAGAGCAAGGCTCAACGGGGCAGCTTCCTTCTGCCTAGTCTCCTGGGATCTAAGTAGTTGGGTTGGGAAGACAATGATGGAGCTAGCTTGTGAACAGGAAAAGGCACCCCCCCACACACACACACACCCATCTGTCTTCTCATGGCCTGACTGGGAACCTGGTGAGGATCTCTCACTGACTCAGGCAGGGCAGGCCTGTGTCTTTTTTTTCCCCCAGGGGGCTTGCTGATTGGATTGCTAAGGACATCCAAGTAAGGCTGCGTGGGTAGGACAACCTGAGTGATAGGGAGAGCCCCAGTTCATGTAGCCCGACACAACTGGTGACTTAGGAAAGAATACAGCACTCCCATCCTGCCAGTGTGCCCCGAAGACCTGGGCAAAAGAGAGCCAACAGGAGACACACTCATCACTAAGAGTGTTGTAAGTAGAGGGGCAGGGCGACCTTGCACTAGATAAACTGGGAGTCAGAGCAGTCAAAAAGCACTCGATTGTGAAGAAAGAAAACTGTCAAAGCAACACTTAAAAAAAACAAGAGGTTTTCACGTTGCATCCTCGGGTAGGTGACAGGAAGTTCAGCACGGCTACCAGAGACTTACCTCCCTCTCTTTCTTTCCATTCAGTGCGTCGGATTCGCTCCCAGTGTTATAAAAGGGCTGCCAGGCCTCCAGTAATTGTGCCTATATCCACAGCAGAAGGACCGGGGAGGGGCAAGTGGGTAAGGAGCAAGCTAGCCAGGCCTGCCCATTTTCTGTAGAAATGCCAAAGGTTTCCCGGAATATGCTTGCTTTTAGTTCATTCCTTTGACAGGACTTGGGTCATCTCTGGATCAATTCCCGACCAATGTCTTGAGAGTTCATTGCTGTTTTACCCAGGCAGTTTAGCCGTTCTCTGTGCTTCTCCTTGTCACTAGAGGTCCCCACAGGTACCTGGGGAGACTGGGATTCTGCTGAAGAGGAGGGACTGGCATCGTGGGGGAGGGGATGTCTGTGAGCAGAACTTGCCTGTCAGAAAGACTCTAATAGCATCAACGACGTTGTTTGCAAGGCCAAGGGCAAACTGAGAATGTGGAATTCTATGTCCAAGCATAGAGAGTTTCAAACCATAGGGGTCAAGTAATTGTGGGACCCTTCTGAGTTTGTGGACCTGTGTGGCATACAGAGGCAGACGGAGGGTGAGGTGGGCAGAGAGAGGATCCCAGTGCTTCTTACGGGGAAATAGCTGGAGGAAAGCTGACAGAAGATAGTGGGTGGGACCAAATGCACGCAGCACTTTCTGTCTCTCTGCCTTGGGCAGCTTGGGTTGGAGCCTGGGAGTGACTATCACATAAGGCAGATAAGAGAGGGACTGTAGGTGGGTGCTGCATTTGCCTAGCATCAGACACCCCGCCCCATGGGGGACATCGTCCTTTACAGGGGAAAAAACAGTTGGCCAAAGCCCGAGCTTTGCTAGGCACTGGCCAGACTCAGCCTCAAGGTGCCTTAGGCAGCTCACCTGCTACGTACTCTCCCCAGAGGAAAGGCGTCATTGTTCCCTGCTGTGTGGACAACCACCCACCCCTTGCCTAGCCGTCTTCCCACCACCATTGACCCCAAGCCCTCAATACTAATCTGGAAGGTGTTAATTTTCAGAGATTCAGCATGAGTGGGGGAAGGCATGGTGCAGGAGGAGGAGCTAAGGAAGAGGCCCTCAGAGCAGGATTTGTTTATGCAGACCCACGCTCCCTGTCCTACCTCAGCCACCACTCCAGCAGCTGTGTCTTACATGGGCGAGCACAGAGCTCGGTGACGTCGCCCCCTCTGCTGCAGGGTTTGTTTATGTAGACCCATCCTGCCTGTCCTACCTTAGCCTTCACCCCAGCAGCTGCATCTTACAGGGTTGAGCACAGGGCTTTGGTGACGTCACCCCCTCTGCTGCCAGGAGACATAAATTCCATTTCCCAGAAGATGCAGCAGACTGTAGCTTCTGGGCAAGCAGTAGCTCTAGCAGTAAATATTGGCAGGGAGGCTTTTAAGTGGAAGAGCTGTGTAGACTTGGGGCAGCCAGGCTGCAAATCCCCAAATGGGAAAGGGTCTCATGCTTCAGATGAGAAGACGGGATCCATAGTAGCCAAAGAAGCCATTTGAATCCCACTCAAAAGCATTAGCTCCTAAGTCTAATTGTCAAACAAAAACCATGTTGAGCTGAGGGAGGAAACTGCAGACACCAGGTAGAGCTCTCCTCCAGAAAACAAGGCCAGAGCACCACTCATTCTCAGAGGGGTGACAGAAAAGGGGACATATGGCACTCTGGATGGGGGTGAGCGGGGAGAGGGGGAGCGAGAGAGAGAGGGAAGGTGGTCACTTCCCTGGGGAGATCTGTGAGGTCACAGTTTTAGTCATCCCTGAGGGACCTCACCGGAGAGAGTCCTTGGACTCTGAAATTTAGACAGTCAGGGGTCACCTGGAAAACACATTTTAAAAAAGGGCAGGTGACAAACTTCAAGCTGTGTCCCAGCTATAACTTGTGGGCTTGTGGGAAAAGGCCACCTGGGATATTGCAAGTAACTAAGGTCAAGTTCACATGGTCTCCCTCTGCAGAGCCAGTAGCTTCAAGCCCACCTGAAGAAGTGGGTAGCCCCCACCTGAGGGGGGATGGCCCCCACCCAAGAAGGGAGGCAGAGGTTGCTTTCACCTCACACAGTCTTGTGGCACTTGCTTTTTCCCAGCATGGTTTCCCAAAGGAGAGGCCAGCATCTGGGGACAGATTTCAACTGTGCCAGGCCTACAATACTGCAAGCCTCAGGCTGAGGGCAACTCTGCCGAGGGAGATGGGAGGACCACCCAGTGTGGAGGCACTTACACAGCTTGGTGTGCCCATTCCCTCAGCCCCTAAACCCTGTGCAGTGGGCCTGGAGCCTCCTGGGGTTTGCCAATGGACCCTGACACTAAATCCTATTCCAGAACTTTGCTTGTGCGGGCTGAGAATGTAGCTCAGTTGGCAGAGAGCATGCCTAGCAGGCATGAAGCCCTGGGCTTTGATCCCCAGCGCTGCATAAACCTGGGGCAAGGTGCTCACCTATAGTCCTAGTGCTTGGAAGTCAGAGGCAGAAGGATCAGAATTTAGAGTTATCCTTATCTCCCTAGAGAGTTGGGGGCCAGCCTAGACTACAAGAAGCCCTGTTTGAAAAAGAAAACAGAAAGAGAACAGACTCTGTCTCGAACTAAGAGATCAAAGGGGACAAACGGAGGCTATTAGAGGCTGGAGGGGCGGGGAGTGGGGGTCAGCAGGGGAATATGATCAGAGGGTATTAAATTCAGTCACACAAGAGCAAAAACAACACTCTAGGGCTCTATTGTACACCGCTAACACAAGTAATTACACATTGTTAAAAGACACATGAGTATTCTCAACACAACCGAGCATGGTGGTAAAGGCCTATGATGTCCACGCTTGAGCCTCAAGCTGAGACGGGGAGGAGGGGTGTCACTAGGTGTTGAGCCCACCCTGGGATGTATAGTGAGTTCCAGACCAGGTTGAGTTACACCGCAAGATGCTTTCTCAAATAAGTAAATAAAACTAAAAAATAAATACAGATTGTGTGTGAGAGAAAGAGAAATTAGCTGCCTCACCAGACAGGAAGAGCTGTCTCTGTATTGGGGAGTTGGTCAAGGCTGAGGGTATGAGAAGAAACTTGGTCCAAGGCCTTCTGTTCCATGGGGGATTTGATCCATCCAGGAACCTGAGTCTGAGAATCTTTCTTACAGTGCTCTCTCGGGAAGTCAAGTCAAGGGCGCCTGGGGAACCAGACAGTGGCAGCACCTTGAGAAACACAGCTATTTCTTCCTAATCTTTATGTTTGGACTATGATTTACCATACTCAAATTGGCGTACTGAATAAATGAGCAAATCCATTTGAGATTTAAATATAATATATACCTTGCTCTGATCTCTGCCACATAAACAACCATCAGATGCTCTCTCAGCTCCCCTTCTTTTGGCAAGGTGCTTCATCCCTTTGTGGCATTGTTGGGAGCCAAGGAACCGAAACCTGAAAAGTTGATCAAATACATTGTGCTAGAGGGGCTGGAGAGATGGTTCAGCAGTTAAGGGCACTTGCTGAGCAGACAGAGGACCAGGATTCAACTCCCAGTGCCCAAACGGCAGCTCACAACCATCTGTAACTCCGGTTTCTGGAATCTGGGGACCCTGCACACACATGCCGCTTACATTCAGGCAACACATACATAAATATGAAAACCAACAAATCATATTTTAAATGTGCTAAAGATGGAAAAGCTCAAGAGGAGCGAGGCTGATTTGAGAAACTCTTTCCTTGCTGTTTGTCTGGCCTTATAACCACGTGTGCTCAATTCCGGTCTCCACCCTGCCTTAGTAAGCTTTGAGGAGATAGATGCTAGGTGGAGGCTGGGAAGAGAATTCACAATCAAGTTGCTGACATTCTCCTCTCCCTTGCTTAGCAGCAGCAACCTCCTTAAAAGAACATCTGCAGTTACCATGGCAACCCAGAGCCTTTCTACCTCATATCTCCGTGTCCAGAACAAGAACCCCATCTTAGATAGTCCTCTGCGTATGTGTCTCTGTGTGTGTTCCTTGGGGGATGAGAGTGATCTAATGTTAGGACATTGTGCACTCAGTGATCATTAAGAGACCAGGAAGTACCTAAAGGAAGACTTTTATTTATTTTCCATAATAGCCCATTGTTGATACTTCAGACCAGAGGACAGTATATCACAGCCTCCAGAATACTGCATGTTTTTGCACAGCCTGTGAGCAAAGAATGCTTTTCATATTTTTCACTGTTGGAAAACTCAGAACAATGGTTTGGGATAGTGAAGACCACACACACTCAAATGTCTCTGTCCATTGCAGTGTTCTCTCAGCCCACAGTACCCATGCCCCTTATTTATGTGTTATCTGAGGCCTCTTCTACAATTGGGACAGAGCTGGGAGTGAGATCGTATGGCCCACCAAGCCCCACATATTTACTTGGGCCCTTGTCAAGAAAAGCCGCCCACTTCTGCTCTTAGCATTTAACTCAATAAACTGCACTGAAAATGGACTCATGGGGGGGCTCTCCCTAGCCGAGAGTCACTGAGGATTGAGCGTGGCTCCAAGAGGCCATGGTTAGGGTCTGGGTGCTAGCACAAGATGCTTCCGAATGCTTTCCAGATCTCTGGAGAGAGCCCTGCATGCTGCGTTATCCACAGAGTTTCTCAAAGGAGGTGATGTGGGCCTTGCCAAGGTCTAGACTGTTCTGCTCCCAGGAGACCTCAGCCCTTCAGCAGAGCCTTCTGGTCTGCAGAGGCCACTCTAGTGGGTGGCAGTCTCTATGGGTGCCTGGATATGGGTGATTATCACATCCAGGTACCTCCCTGTACCAACCTGTTCCAACTGGCATTTTGCAGATAGGTACAGATATACTCAACCTTGGTATGCTGAAGGCCCTTGGGCCACAACTCCAGCAGTCCATTGCTCACCTGCCCTCTGTGGAAAGCTGTGTCCCTGTTCCTCCAGTGAATAGCTTTATGGCTTCCCTGCCGCCCTTTTATTGCAGTTACTGCCTGCAATCAGCTCTCTCCCTCCTACACTCAGGCTGCCTCCCACAGACTTGTGTCTCCTTCCCTGGTGTCGCCTTTAGGAAGGCTTCTAATGGGAGGTACAGGTCAAATTCAAGCCCATCCAACGCCAATAAACTATTGAATTAGCGAATTGATGTTCAACACACTAGCAGTTGAGCTGGCCAAGTGTAGTTCAAGGTCTGACAGTCCCGGTAACACTGGGCACTGCTTCTGTCTAGGCCTGGTGAACGTTCGGTGTTTATACAATGGAGTTTGTGAACTGCTCAGGAACATTGGAGAGTCTAATAGGGCTTTTAAAATGAAAACGTTGTAGAAGTTGGGTTGACATTTGACTAGGCGGGGATTTGAAATGATCCAAGGGAAGGCGCCAAAGGCAGCAATTTGCAGGAGGAAGGGGTGGTCACGTGACATGACCTTATGGAGACATGAACTCTGGTTGGGGTGCATGAGGACTCAGTAGGGTTCAGGCCTCTTACAAGGTTGTGATATATGATGCATGCATTATTTTTCTCTTTGTTGTAACAAAATGACTGGAAAAAAAAAAGGAAGGAAGGAAGAGTTTATTCTGGCTCGTGGTTGGATGCTGAGGAAGGCGTGGCAGCAGAAGAGAGCAGCCGATCTTATCATTGTGTCTTCAGTTGGGAACAGAGAAAGGGGGAGGGGCAGCTTTCAGTCCAGGACCCCAGCCCATGGCATGGTGCCACCCACACTCTAGGTGGAACGTCCTGTGTCCTAAAGGTTTGTTTCCACAGTGCTCCTCCACCCCTTCAAGTCTACAATCAATTTAACTACCACAGATGACACAAGGAGTTCTGCGAGCTGCGGAGAACACATTTGGGCAAGATGAACTCTGTTTCCAAGGGTCCAAGTTTGCTTTCTGTTGCTGCGATCAATGCTGTGACCAAAAGCAACTTGGGAAGGAAAGGTTTTACTTGGGTTATACCTTCAGAGCACAGTCCGCAGAGGAAAACCAAGGCAGAAACTAAAGAAGAAATGCCGCTTACCTCCAGCAACCTTTCCTATGCCTTCCAGGACCACCTGCCAGAGGTGGTGCAGCCGTCAGTGGGCTAGCCCTTATCCATCAAGAAAATGCCCTCCCGAGACACACCGTAAACGTATCTGTGAAGGTAATTCCTCCATTGAGGGGCCCTCCTCCCAGATGTCTCCAGTTTGTGTCAAGCTGGCAAGAACTAGCCAGCATATCAGGGAAGGGCCGAAAGGACCATAAAGTCCTTGGACACAGGTGAAAGACATGAATTGAAGGGTGTATTCTTCTAGGTCACGTGACCTGCCCTTCTGTGCCAGCTCTTCGGTTCTGCTTGGCCTATCTGTGGGCTTCCGGCTTCTGTTACACTGATTCGCTGAGCCAGACTCACTCCAGCTCGTCCCAGCAGCACCTCTATAAGAACCAAGGCTGGGGTGGAAGGGTGTATCTGAGGAATTTGCGCAGTGACAGATGATTTGATAGGAGAGCCACCTACAAAAGCCTCTGCATCGTTTCCATGTCCTCTGAACACCTCACTTCCTGTGAAGGGAAAGTGAAGATCTCAGGGAAAGTGTTGTAGGCAAGAGCCCTGTCATCTTGGGCTAGTTTTAGGACCTTTGGAAAGCCATTCATAGCTCACCGCTGTGCGTGACCATTAAAACCTTCAAAAGGTATTTTCAGCAGACTGCTCCAGCTTCCACCTATACGAAAGCTAAAAATGCTATGGATAGCACCTGAAGCCTATCCCTCGCTCCGCCTCAACCTCCCTCCTATGGCTCTCACCAATGCCTTTGATAAATACCTGGATTTGTGACTTTCTTTGTTCTGCTAATAAAATCTCACTCAACCATTTCCACCGTGAAACGTGTCTTCGGGAACATCCTGAATTCATGTTCCTGGGCTATGGTCATTTATCTTCGGCTTCAGAAAAAGAAAAATGGTCACCGATGTCCCCAAGGCTCTTCACGCCACTTTGCATTTATACTTTGCGGCACCACATGTTTTAGACTAGTGACTCTCACACTTAAGTGTATATCACACTCACCTAGATCACACTACCCAAATTGGTAGACTTTAGCAGCAGAGGTTGGGGGTGGGGCCTGGGTTCTTCATTGCCAACCCATCCTCAGGAGTAGCTAATCCTATGATTCCCAGAATTCCATTTGAGGAACCAATCCTTGGGGACATTGATGCTCCAGCTGTTCAAGACAACCACCATTCCTTTGAGCTAACACCTCCCGGTAACTAGCTCCTCCATCTCAAGATGATCCTGTTGTCCATTTCACTGGGAACAGAGAAAAACAGTCAGGAAACATGGTCACATGTAATGAATCTCTCTGTTCCACCAGCCAGCTCCCAAATAATAACATGGAGACTTGGTATTAATTATGAAAGCTCAGCCGTATCTTAGGCTTGTTCCTAACTAATTCTTATAACTTAAACTAATCTGTTCCTATTCATCTATGTGTTGCCACATGGTTTGTGGTTTTTGCCTCTCCTCCTGCATGTCCTGCTTTTTCTGAGTCCAGCTGGGGAATCACAGTGACAAATCTTTACACAGTGCAATCAAATCTCTCCCAACAACCACACCATCACATATTCATTGACTCTGCACTGTGAGTTCCTCTCTGCTTCTAGCAATGATCTTAGGCTCCCACTGACAATCTCTTCCTCAGCCATTGGACTGCACCCCCTCCACCTGCCCAAGGATGTCACTCCTAGACATGACCCTGCCTCTGGGTCATTATCCCTGCGCACAAAATCAACACCCAGCCAAACAACAAAATGATTGCCCCTGTTCTCTGTTTTTTCTGCAGAAGAACTCAAGGGGTGTCCCTTCTCATCTTCCCTGCCATCCTGTCTTGGGCCCTGTTCAATTAGACCTTTGTTCTCGCTTCTGCACTGACAACGTTCTTGTCAACGTTATTATCATAACTTTTGGTTGTTGTCTCTGAAACAAGGTGCCTGAGACTGAGTAGCATTAGGTCTGACACAGAGGCAGGAAACGGGTGGCTTCCAAAGGGGCTAAAAATAATTTCAGATAATTTGGCCGTGGCCTACAAGATTCTAATTCACCCTCACCATGAAGTTCTGCCATCTGTCTCACAGAGATGCTAGCTCCTCTGCCCTCACTCTCTGTTTAGGTCGTTTTATCTGGCGTCTCAAATTGCAATGTAACCCCTGTGCCATGACTCCCATTTTGTGTCTTCAGTCCAGACTTCTCCACTGAATTCCCAACACTCCTATCTTCTGCCGTCTTCATGGTGGGCTTGACACAGTGAGCACCTCCAGACTGACTTCCTTACTCCTCCCCAGTCATGCATGAAGACACACAGACACATAGGCACACAGATAGACAGACAGGCAGGCAGACAGGCACCACATCTAAATACAAGAGCAAACCTCTGGATTCATGTTCACAATGTATCTGACACCTGACCCTTTCTTGGCACTTCTCTTATCTTCTGGACCCATGTTATGGAAGCATGTGGACCAGTCTCCCCACTTTTTTTCCTTGCCTGCAGCCTTTCCTCCTAGTCAGCCCAAGTTTGCACTTAAATGTTAGTCAGGTTCTAGAACCCCACACCACAGAATCCCAGAGCAAAAGTCAGAGACCTCCTAATGGCCTGCAAGGAATTGACAAGGTTCCACTCGGACTTGTAATAGCTTCATGGCTATTTTCTGAGCATAGCAAAAAACAACTTATCTTTTACTGTCTCTGCCCCTGCTGGGAATAGAGGCCATCTCAACTAGAAAATCTGAGATCATGTTAGCCTTTCAAACAAACACATTGAGTTAATTAATGGAAATGGGTGTTCCTACATAAATCAAGATACTGATGACTAAGTTATACCTTAGACGTGAGTTAGGTCAGTAGTAATCAGTCCCATAGAGTCCTATCAGGTATATCCAGACCAATAAGTAGAGCATGCGTATAGAGCACCCATGGGGTTGCTGTCATACTGGGATGCCTGACCAGCCAGCTTTCCATGACACATTTTTATCTCTTCTCAGATGAGAAGTTCTGAGCTCTTAATACTGAAAGAAGCCCAGCGGGAAATTCTTCCTGGTGTGTGTGCAGAAGCACGTGTGTGTGTGTGTGTGTGTGTGTTGTTGTTGTGGTGGTGGTGGTATGGCAGTCAGTTGGCAGTCTTAGGTATCATTTCTCAGCTACCATCCTCCTCGTTTTTTGGAGACAAGGTCTCTAATTTGCCCAGGGCTCATCAAGTAGGTTGGCTAGAGAGCCTGCGGGATCTCCCTGTCTTTGTCTCCTTGGAGCTGGGATTATCAGTGTGCACCACTGAATTTGGCTTTAAATTTTTTTTCTACGCTCTGGCCATTGAACTGGGGCCCTTATGCTTTTACCACAAGCACTGAGCCATCACCCCAACTCAGTGGTTCTCCTACAATACAAGAACGTCTCCCCCAATGGATCTAGTTTGCCCACACTTTTTTTTCCACACCTTCTCCAAGCTGGTACTTGGGTTCACACCAGAAAACTCATCCCACCTGGCATAGTTCTTCCTCTCCTGTCCGCCCACAAGACAACATACCTCATTAAAGGGGTGCAGCCAGCTAGGGAAGCGACATCCTGATGGTCGTGTCCGGTAAGAGCACAGCCACCTGTACCTCAACAAGGAAATGAATTATTCTAGCAGGACAAATCCCTCTTCCATTGACATTGATGTGACTTTCTTCTTTCATAAAAGCCGAAACCTTTTCTCGTCCCCCAGACAATGTTCTTTGTTAAAAATAGAAAGACACAGCATCCTGTGAAAACGGCAAACATTTTCCATCAGGAACTGACTTGCTTGGAGCCCAGCCAGCTGGGCATTGGATATAGTCCTGCGATGCTGGGGACTTGGTGGGCATCTTCAAGTGAGAGCCTTCTCCTCTGAGAAGATTGCACTCCAAGTGGCGGGATGACCTTCAGATTGAGATGGTGAGATTGAGAAAGGGAACCAAGCAGAAGCACCTGCTGCAACCTACTGGGATGGTACTGGGCTAACTGGCCAAGAGGCTAAGAAGGAGTCTCTGTGCTGAAAGGGTGAAAGAACCACTCACTCCTTTGGGGACAGTGGTCCTTGGCAGAGTTCCTACATCCTCATTCTCTCCCTTTATCCTTCTACAAGGCTGTTTTCCCTCCATGATCCTTTTGTAAATAACAGAGCCCCTCTTTTCCCCAGCATTGTAAGTTCTAAGGAGAAGCCAGACCTGAGGCTGAAACGTTAAGTGTGAAATAATCTCTCATCAGATTTCAGGACCCAGAGTATATGGAGATCCTTGCAATGCCTAAGGTTCCTTGGACCTTTGCCTAATACATCAAGGAAGGCAAAGCATGGAATTGCTGTAACATTTAACTTACAGGGAGAAAAAAAGGTCAAGGTAACTTGTGATGTCCTGGTCATGGGAGTTGGGGAGGAGAGCGTGTCCTGGGCCATGAAGATACTGCTCAGCACCTGGCCTTTCTGCCCACCGCCTCGCTGTACCTACTTTGTCTAGCTTTTCTCTTGTCTACTGAAGCCTTTGACCCCCTTACTCCTCCAAGATGGAGCTTAAAGGCACCCCATCTTCTAAGGTAATGATTCTTGAATAGGCTTGCCCCCTTCCTTCAGACTCTCCTCTCCTGGATATTAGATTTGGGGCAGTGAACGGTTCACAGCTAAGCCCAGAACCAGAAGGGTTGGAAAGACTCATTATCTTACCATAGTTGATCACAATGTTGTCACTCATACAGGAAGTTTAATAAGTTTAAAGCAAGCCATGGACTCCAAATGGGACCAGTAAAACCTTAGTGGAATCAACCATGAGCTCTCCATACCGACAAGTGGGAGAAAAGTCGCCGTAGTACGGCACTACGAGGTAGGTGGGGGCGTTTGGGAGCAGAGCAATGTGGTAAAGATACTCAAAATCCAAATTCCAAACAGCAGCTTCATACTACGGGGCCAGTAGAAGAGTCCACCCCCATCCGTGTTGGAATTTGACTGGCTTGATCTAGTGCAGGCATCATGCAGATAGCTACAGCTGCTGTGTGTTGCTGCATCAGCCCCGCTATGCCCAGCAAACTGCCAGCTCTTACAGCCTTTCCGCCACATCTTCCACAATGTTCCCTGAGCCTTGGATGGAGGCAGGAGTGCTATAGATGATTCACCCGCAGCTGAGCACTTGCAGTCAGTTACTTATCCTCCTCATTTGACCAGATCTGAATCTCTACACTAACCCCTACCCACTTCCAAACGAAGCTTCCCTGACAAAAGCCGAGAACAACACAAATCTATGGGGATAAAACCATTTGTTCAGAAGGCAGCTTGGCACCGTGAGCAACAGTAGTAGGTTCCCTCTGGGATCTAGGATCTCCCAAGTCACTGGATTTTGACCAGGTGTGTAGTAGCAGCAATGCCTCCTGTGGGGCAGGCCTCATAACTAATTAGGAAGGTATCACGCCATAACGATCTTGCCACTATTGCGGCAGTAGGCACATCTTGCCATAGCCCAGGATTCTCTGTGTGTAACAAGCTCCCACTTGATACTGCTAGTGCTGATCCAGTGTGATACCCAATTTTAATTATCATCTTCATTGGATTAATAAACACCTAGTGCATTATTAATAAGGAACATCTTTGGGCATGCCTTGATGGCTGTTCCAGAAAGAATGAACTGAAGGAGTAAGCTCTAACTTGAATGTGAACAGCACCGCCCCATGAGTGGGAGGGGGGGCTGTGCTAGGCTGAATGAAAATCAGGAAAAGAAGATCATCACCTGAGCACCAGGTTTTGGTTTACTGGTCTACTCAGATGCAGAGAGGTTCCGGACATCGTGCATTCCCCACAATGACAGATTCTATTGGAGCCAACACAAACCTTTCCTCCTATAAGTTACTTGATGTCAGGGAGGGGAATGGGGACAGACTTCTCTGTGTTCCACCGCACTGGCTAGTTTACGTCAACTTGACCCAAGCTAGAGTCATCAGAGGGGAGGGAGCTTCAGATGAGAAAATGCCTCAAGATGAAGCTTTAAGGCATTTTCTTAATTAGCGATTGATGTGGACAGCCCAGCCCATGATGAACGGTACCCGCCCTGAGCCCCTGATCCTGGCTTCTAAGAAAGCAGGTTGAGCAAGCCCTGGGAAGCAAGCCAGTAAGCAGCACCCCTTGGTGGCCTCTGCATCAGCTCCTGCCTCCAGGTTCCTGCCCTGTTTGAATTCCTGTCCTGACTTCCTTCATTGATGGACTATGATCCGGAAGTGTAAACCAAATAAACCCTTTCCTCCCCAGCTTGCTTTTGGTTACAGTGTTTCATTGCAGCAACAGAAACCTTAGCTAAGACATCCACTCCCTGTGACCCAGTTAACACAGAGCCCTGGGGTCCGTGTTGTTCTGATCGTCTTTCTAAGTCGCTGGGAGCTTGCTGGTCTAACTGACCGGTGTCAGCTTTCTTATCTACTCCGTCTGCCTCTTGACACTGACTGCATGTTAGTGTCGTCATGGATACCAGCCTTGAAAACATCCTGGCCGAGGCATCACAGTGACCATGGAGTCTCTGAGTGGGATTCAGTTGCTGGTTTGATTTTTGTAACTAATTTCATCGTGTTAGTACAGACGTTTTCAAACTGGAATACACATTAGAATCTGTACCTGGAGGCCTTATCAAACTCAGCTTATTGAGTTCCACCCCTAGAATTTCTGGAACCCCCAATTTAATATTTCTAACAAGTTCTCAGGCAGTGCCCTTGCCACATAGACCCTGGCAACACTTCACAATCAGCTTGTCACATGAACCCAGCAATGAACAAACCCATGGTGTAGGAGGAGACCATACAAACCGGGTAGCCACACTGTGATTCCAAAGAAAGTTCTTTAATGGAGACCTGCAATATAGGCTTTGTGTACCCTGATCTTCAGTCTTGGGTCCCTAACCTTCCATGTATGAACTCCGACCTCCTCTCCAGAGAGACTATGTGGGGAGGCCCACAGGCTACATGGAAAAAGAGGAGTTTGTGGAGTCCAGTCTCATAGCCTTCCTGGCCAAGGTGCCAGTCATGTGACTAAAATTGTTTGGGATCCTCTAGAGCAGCCCAAACATTGAATACCATCAGAGGACTCCAGACAAAGCCACCCTTGAGCAGGAGAATTACCCAGCTGAGCCCCGCCCTGACTCCCGACAAAATCACATTGCATGACGCAGGGGTTGCTATTTGAAACACTGAATTTGGGGTACTTTGTTCTGCTGCAATAGGCAATCGGAATCATGTTGCCAACACATTAGCCTTATGTGTGACATCCACGCACTTTGTCATACAAATATTTGACCAATGTCAGAGGAACAGATTCAAAACACATGATAACAGTACGGGCTTGTGAAGGTATGTGACCTTTTGTACTATTCCCGCTAACTTTGAGTCCTGCAGCCAATTAAATGTCCCATAGATACACCTCTGCAGCAAAATACGCTGCCAGTGGAAACAAGGCCTCCTTGTGAATTGTGCAGAGGCTTGCGTTAGCATCCAGCTCAAGGTTGGGGCTTGTCAAGAGGATGCAGGAAGAGCTGGCCAATTGTGAGGAAGGCTGGGGAAGGTGGAGCCCTTCCACAAGGAGGGCTCTGTCCGCTCCTGAGCACAACAGGGTTGTTTCTCAAGGTGGAGTTTTAGGTTTGAAAGCAATTTTCATTTTGAAGAAGGGGACTTTATTTCCTCCTCTCTCCAACTCATTTAAACCTCCCCCAGCCCAAGGGAAATTTTTAGAACTGTATAATAAGGACACTCTCAAAATCACAGCCTCTTTTTCTGAGTGTGTTTCTTATGTAAATGCTATATCAGAGAAGCTTCCCTCTGTTTTACGCTTCAATCCCGCTTTGAAAACCTGCAAAATAGAAACAGAAAAAGACACCTTGAAAATACATCGAGTTTCAACGGTTTTCCATTTTTACCTAAGACTCCTAAAAAAAAAAAAGCCTTTATTCTTCAAGTTTAGATTAATTTTAAATCTTCTTGTGCTGAACTGGAAGTGCAAAGGAAAATGCTGGCTCCACTGGATTTATTCCATCCAAATACATCCAAGGTGGGGCCCTTTGTACCAATCTGTGAATCCCTGGAAACCTGGAGTGGTATGGGATGGCCCACAGCAGGGCTTAGTCAAGGGACATTGTAAGGGGCTCCAAAAGAAGCCAGGGTGTCTCCCTCCCCCGGGACACAGGCCTGTGGAGGACCGAGAGCTGCCTGGGTTCACAGTTGGTCTCCACCAGTTCCTTTTCACCCCCTTCTGCTCTCTTCCCACTTGTTAGCACAGAGGTGTGTTTACAGGTCTGTTTGCCTGGCCTTGGGAACCCAGCAGGCGGGGAGGGAAGGGTTAATCTCTGTTCCTACCCAGAAGCAAAGGCGGAACAGTATTTAGATAGAGAATAAATGGATGTGCTTAACCGAGGAGCTGCTAGAATGAATGGGCTTGAATCTTAAGGCAGGCACTTATTGGCTGCATAAAGACAAATCTGAGAGGGGAGAGAATACTTCAAACCCTCATAAGGCTTAATATGCACAGCCTCCAGACCCTTCTCACAGAACGCATTATATTAAAGCAGGGAGGCAGAGGGAGAACGGATGCCAGCAGAAGGGTTAGGCTAAGAGAGGTTAGGAGGAAATTGAGACTCTCCGAAGGAAAAAAAATCCATGTGGGGCTTGGTTGTCCCTGGGGAGATGGCTCTACCAGCAAAGCGCCTTGCAAGCGGGAGAACAGAGTTCAGACCCCCTGAACCCACATAGAAAGCAGATAACAGAGACACACCTTGTACTTCAGGGCTGGGGTAGAGTGGACACAGGAGTTGGGAGGGGGACATGGTTTACTGGCCAGTTGTCCAGTCAAATCAGTGAGTTCCAGGTTCAGGGAGAGACCCTGTCTCCAAAAATAAGATGCTTCTGGCTTCCACATGCGTCTGGACAGGAAGACACACACACACACACACACGAATCTCTAGGGACTGTAAGTCAAGAGGGGCTGCGTGAAACAGAAGATAACAATGCAAAGCTAGCTTGAGGCAGGGTCACCGTGTGACTCTACACTCCTTGGGCGCCGAGCCAGGTTTACCTGTGCCCCTTCTAGGCTGTGGTTTCTGTTTCTTTTCCCTCACTACCAAGTCTCAAGCAGTGTTCTTTGTCTGGGGCCAGCTGTTTTATGAGAGATTGCTATTTTTTTCCTTTCCATCCTCAGGTTCCTAACCAGAAACAGAGGCGAAAGTTCAATCATAATTCACTGCCGCCACAGGAAGGAAACAGTGAAATCAATCCAGTCAAGGGAAGGCCGGGAGAAATGAAAAGCTGGAGGAAGCTCGTTACCCCTCAGGCCGACAGGGGGCGCCGCTGAGCCAGACCGCCATCTCTGATCCTCCGCAGGTGTCAGCCTGCTTTCCGCACTGCAACGCCCTCTGGCTGGAAGATGCTCAGGCCGTCCCACCCAACCGGTTTCCCCACTGCCCCCCTGCTCGGGCGCCCCATCCAGAGGGGCCCCAGTGAGAGAACAGCGGACTCCCACCCCCCCCCCCCGCCCCAAACACACAGGGCGAAGAAAACTGAGTGTCACACTCTCTCTGCCCCTCCTTTACACCTCTTACCCCCATCCCTGACCCCTCCCCTTTCCAGGTCGTTCCTCTTCCCTTCCTCTCCTCCCACTGCCCCTCCTCCTTTATGAAAGGCCCCAGCCTGGCTGGAGCTATAGACAGGTTCAGAAGCCCTTTGACCATTTCTCATCTGCAGGGAGAAGCAGAAAGAAGGAGCAGGAAGGACCTTTGGACATCTGTGTCCCCAGCCTCCCAGCCTCCCGAGTGCTCCCGGGAATCCCGAGTGCAGTCCCGCCGCCCCTCCCCCATCCCTTGACAGGGTCTGTGCCCACCACACTCACTGAAAGAGTGAAGAGAGCCAGCATTGGCTCTGACCAGACAAAACAGCAGGGCTGTAGGGGCCCCCAGAGTGTGGCTTAGAGCCCTTGGAGCAGACCGATCAAGCCAGGCTAACACCCAGACTGGCCTTCTTCCAGGGGTCCACCCCCATGCTCTGAAGCCTTTGACATTTCCTCCTCTGAGCCTCCCAATAGGTCACAGGGCTCCAGGAGAGAAAAGAATTGCTGTCAGAATTGTTGTTGGTAATGTTTACGTAAAATCTTATTGAAGCCTAATTTTAGAACCTGTGTCTGCTGGCCTTATCAGGACATGCGGTCTAGAGAGGGTCGCTGCGCTCCCCTGACCCAACTTTAAGGAAAGATTTCAGAGGTGGCAGGCAGAGGCAGGGGCGAGGCACACTGTCCTGGGAAGGTGGGTCTGTGCTCTGCTTGTGTTCTCGCCTGCCTTGACAGAGAGGCAGACACAGGAGGAATTTTCTATAAGGATGGGGTTGCTACTTCTTGGAGCTAACAGGGTCACGTTCTTCCCTTCTTCCCATCTCAGGCCCAGCAAAAGATAAGTGTCCTTTCTTCCCTTCAGCAGACTCAGAGAAGTCAGCATGGCTGGCAGAGACCACTCTTAACTGAAGACATTAAAGTCTCCCGCCTGCCAGATGCCTGGCATAGAGTGTCCCCTTTAATTTTCACTCTCCCATTTTTGCAGGCAGACAAAAGAAGTCGAGTAAGGCTTTGGCAAAATAGCCACACTTCTGGTTGCTTCCCTCACCTAGCAACATCCCCCCCCCCCACATGGAGGCACCCTGCCGAGCCCTCTGTGAAAAGAAGCCTGAGGCTGACTCCGCCCAGTCAGGAAAGACTTGGGCTAGGGATGCTGAGACCTGGGAGGAGGAAGAGAAGCTACAG